GAAATTACTATGGTAATTGTCACAATATTTGGTAATTATAATTAGAGTGAATTTCATTTTTGGTCCTACTCTTACAGGGGTCATTCCAATTTTAGTCCACCATAATTATTTTTGTCATATTGCGTCCACTATTATTAAAAGTGTTCCAATTTTAGTCCACGAAAAATCTTAAAGTGGACTAAAATTGGAACACTTTTAATAATAGTGGAGGTAATGTGGCAAAAATAATTATGGTGGACTAAAATTGGAAAAGCTCCTATAACAATAGGACCAAAAATGGAATTCACTCTTATAATTAATATAATTAATGAAATTGCAAAATATAATATTTCTTCCGTGGCAATATTTGTGGCAATTTCATTAAGTTATAATTAATAAAATATGAAATATAATTAAGAAAATGAAATTATAAAATTAACAAAATATATGTTCATAAATATTTAGAAATATTTTTAAATACATACATACATACTTATTCACTATATTAATCGTACAAAATATAAATGCTAATTTTTTTAATTTTTAAATGTAAATTTTTTAATTATAAATCTATCAATATAAATTATAATTAGTAAAATTATATTATAGATTTTCCTATATACATATTAATAAATAAATATTATGTTTATATATAATGTATTATACAATCATATAAAGAAATGAGTCCGATTATATTTTAAACTTACTCATACAAAATTTAAAATTTACATTTTTTATTAATTTCTAAGTATAATTCTCTTAGTTATTATTCATATTCCTAGAATTATAATATATATGAAGAGTTAATACAATCTGAGGTCCTCCGAGTATAGTGGTTTTGCCACGTTTAGTCCTAAACTTTCAAATTGACCATCTGTGGTCCTTCGACTTTCAAATTTAACCATTCGTGGTCCAAATTAACCACATATGGTCCTTCAAGTTTCGAAATTTAACCAATTGTGGTCCTCTTGAAAGGAACATGGTAGGTTAAAATTTAATAGTTGAAGGACCATGGGAGGTTAACTTGGACCACGAATGGTTAAATTTGAAAGTCGAAGAACCGCAGATGGTCACTTTGAAAGTTTAGGACTAAACGTGGCAAAACCACTATACTCGGAGGACATCAGATGGTATTAACTCTATATATGAAATACAATTAGGAATAAATCAACTTAATTATGTGAATTTTATCTATAAATTTATTTAAATATGTATATGATTAGAGATTATATTAACCATACAAAATTTTAATTTTAATTTTGTATGCTATGAAAATAGATACTTCACCAAATATATAAAAGTCTAACTATATTATTATATTGTACAATTTAATATTTTTTTCTATTTTTCTATTTTTTAAAAATTTAAATTCATAATAACAAAATATAATAAGGACCGAGTGATCAAGAGAAATGAGATTTGAGAAATGATATAGAGCAATTAGGGTAATAAAGAACAAAAATTGACAAATTAATTGAGAGGCGTATTTGAATTATTTTTAACTCATTCTACAATTTCAATATATTTATTCTCTATATTATTACAAACACACAAACTACAAAAAGATTTAAATTACCTCGGTGTAGGGGTAAAAGGCTCAAATAGGTAATAGAAGTGGGCTTGATATGCAAAAGTAGTAGAGAGCGGGCAATGAAAAATTGAAGCAGCGGAGAGTCTGCGATGGTGGATCAAAGAAGCAGAGAATTTGTGATGAAAGATCGAAGAGATGAGACGGCCGCACGATCGTCGCACGAGAGGGGTGCATCATGAGACGGCAGCACGACTGCTGACACACCTCATAGTACTTGAGCCTGGTGTCTTCGACAGGGCTGTCCCTGGGCAAGTCTGTCGGGCCCCATATTAAAAAAAATATAGAGTATATATATATATATATATATATATACACATACACCGCAGTTGCAGCGTTCCAACAACTAAACAAAGCAAGTAACTGTAGCGACAATATAAGTAACCAATGACAAAAAAGTGGAAATAATAAGCAATTTTTAAGCTACTTGCTTGATTCAATTAAAGGAATAATAAGCAATTAGCTTAATTGGCAAATAAACAAAAAGCTTAGGTTTTTATGTTATTAATTGCTTGATTATGGCAGCGGGCTCCTCCCGTGCGACGATCGTGCGGCCGTCTCATTATTCCCGATTCTCTACTTCTTCGATCTGACTCTCTACTACTTTTATGTTTCAGGCCTACTTCTACTACCTCCAGGGCTGTCCCTGGTATTAAAAAAAATAGAGTATATATATATATATATATATATATATATATATATATATATATATATATATATATATATATATATATATATATATATATATATATATATATATATATATATATATATATATACACACATACACATACACATACACATACACATACACATATACATATACATACACACACACACACCGCATATACATACACACACACACACCGCAGTTGCAGCGTTCCAACAACTCAACAAAGCAAGTAATTGTAGCGACAAACTCAAACCCTACCCTAAATCCTAATCTAGCAGCAGAGAACAAACATAGACATAGTCACACAGAGCGACAGACAATTTCCCTAGGTAATTGAAGAAATTTTAATATTAAATTTGCGTTATTGACTATTGAGGCGGTTAATTCTTTAATATAAGTAGTAATTTAATTATTAAAATATTTAATTTGGTTGTTTATTTGTATTTTTTTTTTTAATTTTGATGTCTTCTAGAGAGTGTAATTTTGTGAATTGATGCAAAGACGAAAGACTCAACCAGTGTGCTACTGATTATTCAATTCTTTTTTTTATCATACAAATTTCAAGTTCTTCAATTTTCTTGACAGGTAATTAAAATTACGTATTGTTTCATAATTCTTGTTTATGTTTTATTTACATGACTTAATAATTCTGATTTCAGAATAATATATTCAAGAATTCGTTTCTTGATTAATTATTTATTGATAGAGTTTCTAAATAAATTTTTATTTTTTCTTAGGATTTTATGTCTTCTAGAAAATATTTATGTGGGTTTGAGAAGCATAAAAAGAAAAAGAAAAAGAAAAAAAAAATTGAGCAACTAACTCAATCTCAAAAGGGAGCTCTTGAAAATTCATTAAAAAAAAAAAAACTCAAATAGATGAGCAAAAATATGATGCCAAAAAAAATTGTTAGATGTTAATCTTCATATAAAAGATCAAGATGATTGTGAGATTGGAAAAAAATTTAAATGATATTGTTCACAATGATGATATGTATCACTGTGACAATGAAAATAATAAGAATGTTGATAGTTGTTTAGATGATGTTGGTCACATAAACCAAATGATTCGCTTTTATTTGACATATATTACCCAAGAAATTGGGATGCCATTATTGATTCTAAATTAATAGATATATTCTTGTGAAAGATTGTACTAAAAGATATTTATCAATAAATAAAGAACCTAAAGATAAATTCTTTAGAAGATTTTCATATGCATTTTACACAAGATATTTTGCCACTTTTTAAATGAAATTTTAGATGTATTTTTTATACAATATTTATGATTTGAAATTTTGATACAACTTTTTAAACAACTATTATTTATATATAGAAATTACTTGATAAAAGGGGCCCAAATTAAGATATTGCACAGGACCCAATTTTTATTGGAACGGTCCTGGTCTTCGGAGTTCTCAGACCTATGTTTAGGTTGTTGACAACAAAGTTGAAATCCTCCAAGTTTTTCACTTGTGAAAACTCAACCACATTCATAGGCTGGGGGCTATTATCTCTATCACTGCCAGATAATAAGTGGTCTGATGTAGAGACTTCTCTCTTCAGATTCTCACCTTCATGCTGTATTCTGGTTAACTGATCTTCAGCATCTTCAATTCTTAAACATTTTCCTCAATATCATCACCTTCTTTCTGTAGCAAACCCTTTGGAATAACAGAAATTAAAAATTTATGCATGATTCAGTCCTAATGAATATTACTAAATTAAATGTAGCAAATTAAAAGAAACTAACAAGGAAAACATATATACTAGTTGCAATTGGCTGTGCATAATGACTTAAATCCTAAAGGCTGATAGCACAGTAAAATTAAAATACCCAGCTTAATATCGAAGCTAATTTGAAAGCAATAAAGGAAACAGAAACGAAAGCAAGAATCTTGAGGAAGTAAGAACCAAGGGATTAACCAATCCAATAAATTGCAACTAAAAAGATTTAATATATTTAGAATTATAATAAAATAATTATATTGATTTTAATTTGTTGTTACTTACTTTTAATAAAAATAATAATAATTTATTTTGTAATAAAATTGATAATATATATATTTATTAAAATTTATTAAAAACATACTAAAAATGAATTTACATTAAAATTCACGTGTATATTTTGTTTCACATCACTTGTGAACCTAAGAGTATCTTTAGCATCTCAGGCTATCGAGCTTAATTATTAGCTAGCCTATTCAGGCCATTGGACAATCAATTTCGAGCTAATTGACTTCTTTTATATTATTTTTTTATCAAACTAATAAATGAAGAGATAAGCATCATATAAGAATAGTAAACACAAAGAAATGAACAACGGAACAAACAATTATCAAACAATTGTAAATGGAGGGACTGACCACTTTTGTATAAATGATGTTATGGAGTTTCCTAAGAGGCCATGCAATGTCTCAACAAGGGAACTAATAAGTGCCAATGTCCATCTCAATTAAGCTTTAAGCTTCATTCCCATGGCGACTCAAACTAATTGAAGTAATTCATCGAATACGATGTGTTCACATCTGCTTCCAACTCTCTTTTAAGTAAAGTTGGACTAGTGAGAGGTGTGTCTATGATGTTGTTTCATTCTCATAGTGACAACACCTTATCCATGTACATCTTGCATAATTGGGCCAAATTATGCAAGAGTCCATATAAATCACCAAGCTCACAACTAGAACCATCATTGAGCCATTACACTATTTAACATTGCAATTCAAATGACATATAGCATCCATAACAAAAGAGCTCAATAACAATGGAAAACACAATCTTGAATTTGAAACCAAAATGAAAGTTCATTTCTTCATCAAAGTTAGAGAGAGCTAAAAATGAAAAGTGATCTAAAAATAACCGCCTAGACTTATTTATACCCTTCAATTCGTGCCAAAGAAACCAAATCAGCAAATTCTTGACACATGGTCATGGTCTACCTCCCGATTGTGAGAGTGACCTTCCCAGAGAATTTTCTGATTCCCAGGCTCCCGCTGACACTCGCTGCCGTGAGCGTCAGCGTGAGGCCGGGAGTCAAAAAGTTCTCTGGGATAGTCACAGTCGCCCTCCCGGCCATGACCTCGACCGGGAACATCCCTGACATTCGCCTAAGCTCCTATTCCACTCCTTGACTTGGTTCGTACCCTTATGCCCCTCGTTTTGTGCTTCCTTAATTGACTCATTTTCACTTGCAAATTGCCTCCGTTGCCCGTTCACGCATTCCCACAATCTTCTTTACTTACAATAAAAAACACTTCAATTAGGAGCGATTTTCATCTCAATGACCTTAAGATCCAGGCAAAATGCAAATTGAGATTAAATGAGGTGCACTACTAAGCCAAATTATGGTTTATCATCACCTTGATGCTGTTATCTGATCTGCAGCATCATGAATCCCAACACATACATTCTCCTAAATATCATCACCTTCCTGCAGTAAACCCTCTGGAATAACAGAAAAGTTATGGTTCAGTCCTAATGAATATTATATTATTGATTTGAAGTGCCTTCTACGAATATTACTAAATGCAGCAAAAGAAACAAGGGAAACATACCACTTGCAATTGGTTGTGCAGAATGACTAAAATTTAGAAGGCTGATAGCACAGGCAATGTTTGTTGAGTCATTTGCCCTAACAATGTACACCTAAAACAAAACAAAGGGAGTAAAAATGAGGCATTCAGTTTAATTCCTTGAAGGCAGAAGATAAGTGCCCAATAAATATCTCCAGCAGCTTATCAGTCTGGCACGCTAAGAGCACGATATTCACACATTGGTGCTGCAAACTACTTGCAGGGTTGATGGGGATACCTTAAGCTTGAAAGGTTCAATTAGTTGAAAAACTAAGACATCCCCGGCAATCAAGTTGTGTTCCTGGGAAAAACCTCTCCATCCTCCACTCAGGCCATGCCTTTCTGCAAGGTACCTGGTCTCCATTTCTTTTCCATTTTCATCCACCAAAATAATAGCAGCATTGTGGTTTGGCAGATGAGAAGTGCTGAAATCTTTTGGCAGACCCTATCATTATATTTGAGAAGGCACAGTGATAATTTGGCAATAACAAGATGCTTAGATTACTTTATCTAACCTAACACCCAACAGATATGATGACGCATTTGGGCTTACCAACCAAAATCCACCAGTAGTATGAGAATGGAGCATGAACTTCACTACACTAGGAAATTGAGGTGAAAGATTTGCTTGAAGTTCTCGAGCTCTCCTCATAGCTAAGGAGTTTTCATCAACAGAGTCATACAACCTCCTAGAACCTTCACCTTTAGCCTGCTCAAATAGTGCCAAGAAGGCAAGAACATTGCATTGGTTAACAGAATTCAAATAAGCTGGAACTTGCAGAACCTCAAATGAACTGATTTGCCAGAAGAATGTGACAGATCGGAGAAATACAACATTTTATTGGCTAACACAATTCAAACATGCTAGAAGTTGCAGAACCTCAAATGAATCAATTTGGCAGAAGAACGTAACAGAAGAAATACAATATAAACAGTCATTAGCCAAAACAGTCTCAAAATTCATCATTTCAACTAAGTTCTGTTATTAACTTAACTAGAACCTATTTCAAAAAAAAAAAAAAAAAAACTTAACTAGAACCAACACTGATCTCATCACAGCACAGTAGTAAGAGGATATCGACAATGAACAGTATAAAAACAAATAAAAAATAAAAAAGCAAACTTCAAAATTAAACAACATTTTATTGGAAATGAACCAATTTGGCACAAGAAATACAACATGAACAGTCAGTAGCCAAAACAGTCTCAAAATATCTCATTTCATCAAAGTTCTGTTATTAACTCAATTAGAACCAACACTAATCCCATCACTCCGCAGTAGTAAGGTAGTAAGAGGAACAGTATAAGGGTTTCAACGAATTGTAGTGCAAGCAGGGGTATTCAGTCTTATGCATCAAACTTAAAAAATTAAACAACAATTGCAGGTATGTTTACCTGAACCATCTTGGGAGTAGGAGACCTTCTCTTGATCACCTTCTTATTGGCCGCCAATGAACTCATCTTTTTAAACTATCATAAAAACAAATAATATATAAAAAATAATAAAGCAAATTTTCATAAGCCATACACAGATAACCAAAAATAAAGCTCTGAACACAACTTAATTGCATACGGAAACATCTATTTTTTAATTGACTCTTGGAAAGTCAAAAGTCATGGAGATGTATATAACCTTGGAAAAAATGGCCATACGGCAAAGGGAAGCACACACTGGTTTGAAAATGGGTATGGCAAGAAGACCATTCGGTTTTAAATGCAGAGTTTTAGGAAGTTTTGATGTGTGGAAGACGTAAACATGGTGTATGGCAGACATGAATGTTGGAGAAGGAAGAGGGATTCTGTGTCACTTCCTCCATTTGAGCCAAAATTTTAATTCTTGGCAGAGTTAGTAGATATGATTAATTTTTTCCCATACCAAGGTATTCAAATCTTATAAAATATGAATATCAAAAAAATAAGATTAATCCAACCAAATCTTATTTGACCTCTATTCTTCTTCCAAAAACAGTATTATATGTATATGTATTTAAACACACAACTTATTTGATCTCCAAAAAAAAAAAAAAAAAAAAAAAACACGCACAACTTATATTTTCAAGAAGCTGGAGATATATTTGACTAAGAGCGTCAAGGCAACTAAGGTTAAATATATCATAAGAACGTCAAATCATAAGGTTATCAAAAGAGAAGCTTAGTTCGAAGAGTTTTCATATTAAAGAGTTGTAACTAATGAAGTGTATTATTTCACTTCTTTGGTCAATTCTCTACTAGTGGTCTAATAAGAAGAGTATGCAAAATAAAATATTCAGACATTCATAAAAGAAGCCTTAACAAAACCGTTCATCAATTAGAAGAGACTTCATACAGAAGAGGCTCTCTAGCAGAAAATTTGAGCAAACAAAAGAGATAGCATAATCATAATAGAATACAACAACAAAACAGAAAGTCTTCTAGAAGAAAAGTCTAAATAGAACACTTATTCAACCAGAAAAGATTGTTTGGTTAAAGATCCAAGCAAGCAAAAGAAACAATCTACCATAAGAGTTCGAAAACTAGAAGAAACAAACTATCATAAGAAGCTAAAATGTCAAGATGACAAGATCAAAATGTTACTTTTAGAAGAGACATGGAAATTCATATAAAGAAGAAGAGAATAATGTTGTTTAATTTGAAGAAGTCAAAATATTCATAGGATACTTTCTCAACAAGAGATGTTGAATAAAAAGTGAAATGAAGAATTCCTCCAATTAGTAAACACACTTATAGAGTTTGATGTGTTCAAATTGAAACATTCTCCCAATTGAAAAAATGGAAACAAAATTTCACATTTTCAACATTGATATTAAAGTTGGAAAATAGCTACAATTTCTTTTTCAAGAAGGAGAAACAATTCACTATCCATCACATATGCACATAACACCTATGTAATTGTTCTTAATTATCTTACTAAAGAAAGAGATTGTTAGAAAGTTTTAAACACCTACAATAATTGAAGACATCACCAAGTTTCTCATTCAAGAACTTCTAACACTAACAAAAGTTAAGACACTTCATTTGTCCCATTTCATGTGTCTAGTTCGTTAACGAGAATTGACTGAACTTATTTAAAAATCAGTTATTCATAATATTAAGTTTAGTATAAGTATATAAAATTTATATATTTAGAAACAATATTAAAAGTTCTATTAAACACAAATTTTTAAAAAACAATTATTAAAAAATACTAAAGAAAATAAGCAAATAAGAAAAAGTTAGTTTAACGAATGAATAGTCAACATGACATGTAAAATGAGACAGATGGAGTATTATATTTTCCTTTCAGAAGAAAGAGAGTTGCGAAATGAGACTATCTAAAATTGTGAGAAGTATGATAGCTATATGTACCATTAATTAAGGAGTGAGTGATCAAGAGATACTACAATGTAATACAATATAATAGAGTCAATAGCATTCAAAAAAAAAAAAAAAAAAAAAAAAAAAAGAAGTGATCAAGAGAAATGAGATTTGAGAAAAGGTATATAGAGCAATTAGGGTAATAAACAATAAAAGTTGACTAATTGAGATGCCTAATAGAGAAATTAGGGTAATAAACAACAAAAATTCATTAATTGAGATGCCTAATAGAGCAATTAGGGTAATAAACAATAAAAATTCACTAATTGAGATGCCTAATAGAGCAATTAGGGTAATAAGCAACAAAAAGTTACTCATTCTACACTTTCAATATATCAATTCTCTATATATTAGTACTGACACACAAACTACAAAAAGATTTAAATTACCTTGGTGTAGGGGTAAATGGCTCAAACAGGTAGTAGAAGTGGGCTCGAAAAGTAGCAAAGAGGTAGTCGGCGATAGAAAATTGAAGCAATGGAGACTAAACGATGGTAGATCAAAGCCACCGACGAAAAATATGAGCGACGGAGTCACCGATGAAAATCAAAGCGGGGGTGAGTCGCTCGGCGACGAAAAATCAAAGGACTCGGCGACGAAAATCAATCGGTGACAAAATCATAGCGAAACTCGGCGACGAAAAATCAAAGCAATGGAGTCACCGATGAAAATCAAAGCGGTGGTGAGTCGATGTGGATTATTGAAATAGCATTTAGTTGACGAAGGAGTTTGATGCAAATTAATGTACGATGATGGCTTGACGGCACGATTTCGTTGAGGAGAGAGCGAGAGATAAGCAAGGTATGAAATTCAGGTAATGGCTTAAAATGGGAAGTGAGATACCTAAATACGTAAAGGCCTAGGGTTTAGGGAGATAATGAGGATATGGGTCACACAAATAATAGTCCAATTTGTAGGATATTCTTTTATTGGTGTAGTAGATTATCATTGGCCCAAGAATTAATTTCACCATTTAACGAGTCTAACTGGAGGCCCAAATGTTTAATGCAATCAAATTATCCAAATCCATTACATTCGGATAACATTGACACATTTCAGTAATTTGAGCATATCTCTATCAGAGTTCTTTTAACCGGAAATATGTCAACTTGTCCTAATAGAGATGATTAAACACAAAGTTGTAGTTTTCAAGGTTAGAAGCAAAAAGACCAAAAGAAAAGTCCAAGAATGGAAGCAAAAAAATCTCATCATTAGGCAGTCATTTTACCCCAATATCATTTCCCATTTTAACATTTATGTTGGAAATAGGCAGACTGTTACTCTTCTCTAGACTGTTACTCTTCTCTAGGCAGTTATAAACTTGAGAAGATGAATAGTTTTCTGCATTTATCATGCTTTTCTTTATGCCTTATTGCCTATATATATGGTTGTAACATGGAGAATCTAAATCAGACAATATATGAAATAAAGCTTCCCTCTACTGTTTCTACATGGTATCAGAGCCACCTTTCTTTGGGGCCTGAAATCTTCTCCAGATAAACACAGATGAACTGTGTTCTTACACTGCTACTGCCCTTCTTTGATTTTTTCATCCTAGATAATTTCTTTTCACAAACTCGTGTGTCAAACCACCTAGAGAAGCGTCGACGACACTGACCAAACTTTTCCGGTCACCAACGGCCTCCACACGCGCCACCTCACAGTCGTAGCCCCGGCGTCACGCGCCGGCGCGCGGCGCGTGGACCCCTTTTCCGGCGACATTTTCCGGCCAAAATTTCCAGATTAGCTTGTTTCTGTTCTGCGACCCTACAGTGTTCTCATATTTTTCCGATGATTATGGCAGAACATAATATTCTGAACAGTACATGGAAGGTTTCCAGTAGCAATGTCTCTCATACTGCCCTTACATTAAAATCCGAATCAGTTTGGGTCTTGGATTCTGGAGCCACAGATCACATCTCTGGTAACCCTTCATTTTTCTCCCATATTAATTTCTCAAGCTCTCTTCTTGCTGTTACATTTGGTGATGGGTCAAAAGGAAAGGCTATAGGAATTGGAAAAGTTACTATTCATTCTTTATCTTTATCTATTGTCCTTTACATTCCTGGTTGTCCCTTCAATTTGATCTCAATTAATCAACTTACTCGCTCTCTTAATTGTCTGGTTACCTTTTCCTCCGATTCTGTAATTATTCAGAACCGTCAAACAAAGGAGACAATTGGTGTAGGAAATGAATCACGAGGTCTCTACCACCTCTTATGTTCTACCAATACCAAAATAGCTTGCACTGCTACTGTTTCACCTCTCCTTAACCATTGTCGCTTAGGGCATCCTGATCTCAATAAATTAAAACAACTTGTTCCAAGTTTGTCAAGTTTGAAATCCATAGAGTGTGAGTCATGTCAACTTGGAAAACACTCAAGAGCCTCATATCCTAGTAGGGTGAATAGGAGGGCTAATACGCCATTCTCTCTAGATCACTCTGATGTTTGGGGACCATGTCGGGTTTCATCTACTTTGGGATTTTCATATTTTGTTGTCTTCATTGATGATTTCTCTTGGTGCATGTGGGTCTTTTTAATGAAGAACAGTTTTGAATTATTTGATGTATTTCAAAAATTCTACAATGAAATTCTGAATCAATTTGGGGTATCTCTCAAAATCTTACGAAGTGATAATGCAAGAGAGTATTTTTCTGACTCTTTCACTTCTTTCTTTTCATCACATGGAATACTTCATGAATCTTCATGTGCTAGAACTCCTCAGCAAAATGGTGCTGCTGAACGGAAAATTCGGCATCTTGTTGAAACAGCCCGTACTTTGCTTATTCATAACAAGGTTCCTAAGAATTTTTGCGGGCATGCTATACTTCACTCTTGCTATCTTATAAATCGAATGCCTTCTTCTGTATTGCAAGGAAAAATTCCTCTTCACATCTTGCGCCCACAAGAACCTCTCCATAAGCTGCGATTACGAATCTTTGGGTGCACTTGTTTTGTTCATGACTCTTCTCCAGGACGTGACAAACTTGATGCTAAGGCAATAAAGTGTGTTTTCATTGGTTATTCTCGTCTCCAAAAGGGCTTTAGGTGTTACTGTCCTAAAACACATCGTTTCTATACTTCATGTGTTGTTACATTCTTTTAAACAACACCTTTCTTCTCTTCCATCTCCAGCGAGTCTGATTTCCTAGGGGAACCCATTGAGGTAAACAGAAATTCTCTGTGTTCCTACTTTTTCAGAACATGTATCTCACAATGTTCCTGAAAGAACTATACAAATTCCCGAAAGAACTACACCAAATCCAACCATTCAAGAAGAAGTACATGTTTCACCATTTATGTACACCTATCAACGACGCAACCGTCAAAACTCCCAAGAGGATGGATGTCCAATTGATTCATGTCCTACATCTTTGCCTCCCATTAACATAGCCCAAACCACAACAGAAAAAGACTCTCCCATTGCTAGTCGAATAGGTAAAAGGTCCACTCAAAATCCTTATCCTATCTATAATTTTCTCACACAAAAGCGACCGTCTCCATCATATTGTGCTTTCATTACTAGTTTGTCTACTGTTTCTGTTCCAAAGAATGTCAAGGAGGCATTAACTCATCCAGGATGGAAGCAAGCAATGATTGATGAAATGGAGGCACTTGATTCTTCTGGAACTTGGGAGTTAGTTTCTTTACCTCTTGGAAAAACTGTGGTTGGTTGTAGATGGGTGTAAAATGTGAAGGTTGGTCCAGATGGACAAGTTGATAGACTTAAAGCTCGGCTTGTTGCTAAAGGATATACACAGGAATTTGGCATTGACTATATAGACACTTTTTCACCTGTAGCCAAAATCACCTCTATTCGCCTCTTCCTCTCAATGGCAGCCAATCGCCACTGGCCGTTATCTCAGTTGGATATCAAAAATGCTTTCTTACACGGTGACTTGAAGGAGGAAGTATATATGGAGCAGCCCCCTGGCTTTGTGGCTAGGACAGGAGCAAGTCTTGTTTGTTGTCTTAAACGGTCTCTCTATGGGTTAAAGCAATCTTCACGTGCTTGGTTTGGGAGATTCAGTGATGTGGTCCAACAATTTGGCATGATCCAAAGCAAGGCCGACCATTCTGTCTTCTATAAACATGTTCTTGGAAAAAACATATATCTTGTGGTTTATGTTGACGACATCGTCATCACAGGAGATGATACAGAAGGAATAGAACAGCTCAAGAAATACTTAGTGTCAACATTTTGAGACAAAAGACCTTGGGAAATTAAAATATTTTCTTGGTATTGAAGTTGCTCAATCTCGAAAAGGTATCTATGTGTCCCAACGGAAATATGTTTTAGACATTCTTGAAGAAACAAGTATGACAAATTGTAAACCAATCGATACACCCATGGATCCAAATGTCAAGCTTCTTCCAAGACAGGGGGAGCCTCTATGCAATCCAAGCAGATACCGGAGATTAGTTGGCAAACTACTATACTTGACGATCACCCGTCCAGATATCTCATTTGCTGCAAGTGTAGTTAGCCAATTTCTACAAGAGCCATGTCAAAGTCATTGGGATGCAGCCATTAGAATCTTAAGATATTTGAAAAGATCTCCAGGTACAGGATTACTATATAAAGATCATGGACATACAGAAGTTGTTGGATATACAGATGCAGATTGGGCTGGATGCCCTTGGGATAGAAGATCAACATCAGGATATTGTATTCTTTTCTATGGTAATCTTGTTTCTTGGAAAAGCAAGAAACAAAATGGTGTTGCCCGCTCAAGCGCAGAAGCAGAATATCGAGCAATGGCACTTGGAATATGTGAGCTAATTTGGGATTAAACAGCTTCTCACAGAACTCAATTTCTATAAACTTGGTCATATGAAATTGATTTGTGATAATCAAGCAGCTTTGCATATTGCCTCCAATCCTGTCTATCATGAAAGAACCAAGCACATTGAGGTTGATTGTCACTTCATACGAGAAAAGGTTGCATCTGGAGACATCATTACCACATTTGTTGGGTCAAATGACCAACTTGCTAATGTTCTCACTAAACCTCTTCGTGGACCTAGGATTGAATACATTTGTAACAAGCTTGGAGCATTTGATTTATATGCTCCAGCTTGAGGGGGAGTGTTGGAAATAGGAGGACTGTTACTCTTCTCTAGACTGTTACTCTTCTCTAGGCCGTTATAACCTTGAGAAGATGAATAGTTTTCTGCATTTATCATGCTTTTCTTTATGCCTTATTGCCTATATATATGGTTGTAACATGGAGAATCTAAATCAGACAATATATGAAATAAAGCTTCCCTCCACTGTTTCTACAATTTATAATTTTCAAATAGCTTTCACTTTTTTTCTGAAACAAGCCCTAACCACAACCAAATAAAACAAACTTATTTAAATATAACTAGTATTTTCTATGCATCATGCACAAAAACATATGCCCAATATTTATGTTGAAAATAACTAACAAATCGTTACTAATTATAATCTATTTAATCAAATTTATTTATTATATTAATTCAATATATAATGTCTACAAATATTATTATCAGTAAAGAATATAAGAAAATATATGATGAATGCAAGTACAGAGTAATAATAATGAAAAAGATAACGGAAGTTATAACGATAAGGGTATTTTTGTCCAAAAAATTATATACTACTACAACTCTAAAAGCACAATGTACAAAATGATTAGCACTAAAAACATGGACATAAATTAGAAGTATAACTTTGATTGAGACTTATTATGTTTTTAGATAATTCTTCCAAAGGTGGGGACAAAAGATATGGAAATAAAAATTAACTACGCATTCCATCTACATCCAAAACCACAACTATATCTATTATAAAAAGTTATGCGAGAAAGTAAGAGAAAAAGAAATCAACTGTCAAATTTTCTACTGCTGGGGAGGAGAGCCAAGTTGAGAATGGGAAGATAGACATTGTTTTCCTTGAGAAAGATTCCCTCTTCCAAGGAATCCTCAAGGAAAACAATGTCTATCTTCTCCCCCCTTTCTCAACTTGGCTCCCCTTTTCAGCAGCTCCAGCAGTAGAAAACACACTCTGAAAGATGATTTCATTCTCTCCTACTTTCCACACATAATAGTTATCCCATTGATTTAGCGTTTTTGGTCTATGCGAAGCATCCAAAGGAAAAGGATCATCCTATAGAGAATAAAAAATGTGTATGAAAAAAACTACAAGATGAGAAAATTTTGATATGTGCAAGAAAGGTATAGAATAGAGCACAGCAAAATGACAACTAACCATTAAAAAAAGCCGAACACAAAGAAGATACCACAAACATGCTTCTATAGTAAGTTAACAACTCTATTAATGTATATAGGCACCTAGAGACAATAAAAAGAAACATTCTACATTCATGTTAACAATTGCAAATTGTTTAGGGAATAAAATACGCATAATTGTAAACAACATCAGAAGATTCCAGGTAAAAAAAAAAAAAATTTTAAAAAAAACTCTTAACTTAAACTTTTCAATATATGAATATCTCATTTCTAAACACACACAAAAAAATATATATATTAAAAAACTATAGAACTATTCAGCAACAAATCCAAGAATACAAAAAAAAAAAAAAAAAAAAAAAAAAAAAAAAAAAAAAAAAACCTTATGGGGAAAAATTTTCAGAAAAAAAAAAATTATAAAAAAATCTTCGGCAAAAATACAAAAGGGAAAATTTTTCAAAACCTTTTAAAATTTTAATTTTTCAAAAAAATATCTACCAAAAAAAAAAAAAAACCTAATAAAGAAAAAGGTTACCTGTTAGACTTTCCTGGCTTTGCAGCGGACCAACCAGAGAAATCAAGAAAATTGAAGCCCCGATGAGATATAGGATTAGAGCAAAGAGAAATCAAGAAAGGTGAGAGGCGACTCTACTTACCATAGGGAGTGACTGAGGGGCAATTCGGCGTCGATGAGACTCTAGAGGGTGGAAAGCTGGAGAGCCAAAGACAGAGTCGAGGCGGAGATGGCAATGAGCCACTAAGAGACTTAGAGAGTGCAAGGCGTGAGAGCGGCGGAGAAGACTAAGAAACTGAGAGGGATTAACGGCGGAACTAGAGAATGTCACTTCTATAGTTTTATGTTACTCTAAAATTACTTGATATTCATTGTATTATAATTACGATTGTTGTTAGTAGTAATAATAATAGTAAGGGAAAAGGGTCAAATAGGCCCCTGAACATTACTCAAAAAGTCAATTAGACCCTTGAACTTTCAAAAGGTGAAATTAAGCCCTTAAACATATTATTTTAGAACAATGAGGCCCAAAAACCGGTTGGTGACCTACAATTATTATAGGTCAAAAAGATTCCGACGAAACTCCGACAACATTCCGGCAAAAAACCGACAAAATGTTCGCCGGTGTGATTTGGCTGCCTTCTTCGCCGGAGAAGGCAACCAAACTGGTTGCCTTCTCCAATCACCGGAGAAGGCGACCTAGGTCCCCTTCTCCTTCACCAGATCTGGTCGCCTTCTCCCAAGGAGAAGGCGACCCTTCTACGGCGAAGGAAAAGGCAACCCCTGCGAAGGAGAAAGCGACCCTTCTCCTTCGCCGGGGAAGGCAACCAGCAGTTGCTCTGCCTTCTCCGGCGTGCCAAATCACACCGGCGAACGTTTCGCCGATTTTTTGCCAGAATGTTGTCGCCGAAAACCTTTTGACCTATAATTATAGGTCACCAACCGATTTTTGGGCCTCATTAATTTAAAATAATATGTTTAAGAGCTTAATTGTGCCTTTTGAAAGTTCAAGGGCCTAATTAACCTCTTGAGTAATGTTCGGGGGACTATTTGACCCTATTCCCTAATAGTAATAATAGTAGTAGTAAAAATAAAATAATAATAATAATAGCAGTATAGCAAAAGTAATAATAATAATAATACTAATACTAATAATACTAATAATAATAATAAGTAATAATAATGAAAGCAGTAGTAACAATAGATTAATAATAGTAATAAGAATAAGAATAATACTAATACTAATACTAATTATACTAATACTAATAATGACAAATTAACAATAATTAATTAATTAATTAATTATTAATAATAATAATAATAATAATAATAATATTAAGAGTATAGTAGTAATAATAGTAATAAGAATAATACTCCGTACTAATTATAGTAATTATAGCAAGTCTCCCTTGGTTGCTGAGAAAGAAAAACAAACCTGATGGGCATACCAACAAAATGTGATAAGAACATGAGTGCTTCTATCAAGTTGTCTACAACAAGAAAAATAGTAAGTTCAAAATCTTCATAATTCAACTATAGTAAGTTCAAAATCTTCATAATTCAACTATGATAACAACTGATTCTTACATTTTGTTCCTGAGTTTGAATTATAGTAACCCAATAGTTGCTCTGTGTAGTTGTAAATTGATGCAGTAACAGACTTGTCCTTAAGCCCTTTAATGTCATGGAAGTCCCCTTTCAGAATAATGGAATAATGACTCCTTTAATCTACCAGGTACTTAAAAAAAATGAGTGTAGAACAAACATAGAGATAGTTGACATTTGTGCCTCAAGTGTTATATCTTTATTTATGGTAGCAAATCAGGACAAAGAATACTTGAAATCTTTCAACTGATTGAGTTCTGCTTCGAGTTCAACCGTGTATGCCTGAAATACAATATTGAAGCAAAATGTGTGGAATGGCTATAAGTTTCCTCAAATGCAGTTGTGACAAATATAAATGGAAAAAAGGAGCTAACATTATAGGATCATTACCATTACCAGAACTCATAAATCAGATAGATTCCCCATACTGGTTAGATAAATAGATTATAGATGATACACAACACATTCCTAATTTAGAAGATAGCTTTCCTAACATAAAACTAGTAATTTCAGGTTGAATTAGAAAGGATCTATGCACTCAAGCAACACTTTTCAGCAAGGTACCTGGCCTCCATTTTCATCCACGAAAATAATAGCAACCTCATGGTTTGACATATGAGAAGTGCAGAAATCTTTTGGCAGACCCTATAATTTGAGAATGCACGGTGATAATTTGGCAGTGTCATCACCTGGTTGTGGTAAACCCTATGGAATAACAGAAAAGTTAAGGTTCAGTCCTTGAAAATATCGATGTGTAATTCCTTCTATGAATATTACTAAATGCAAAACAAATAAGGAAAACATACCAGTTTCAATTGGCTGCGCAGAATGACTTAAGTTCAGAAGACTAATAGCACCAGCAATGTCTGTTGAGTCATTTGCCTTAACAAAGTATATCAAAAACAAGGAATCGGGGTGAAAAATAAGGCAAAGTCATAATAATTCCTTGAAGGCAGAAGATAAGTGCCCCAGAAATATCTCTGGCAGCTTATAACTCAGTCTGACACGCTAACAGCAAGTTATTAGCACACTAGTGTACTACTTGGCAAATTTCAGAGGCCGCACTTATTACACTGATAGTGAATTCAATACTGCTGAAATGTTCAAATAGTTGAAAAACTAAGCCATCCCCAGCAATCAAGTTGTGTGCCATGAAAAAACCTCTCCATCCTGCACTCAGGCCATGCGTTTCCACACGGTACCTGGTCTCCATCTCTTGTCCACTTTAATCCACCAAAACAATAGCAGCATCTTGGGTTGGCAGATGAGAAGTTCATAATTCATTTGGCGAAACTTATCATTTCAGAAGGCACCGTCATAATTTGGCAATAAAAACTAACAAGATGCTTAGATTACTTGATTTAACACCCAAGAGATATGGTCATGTGGGCTTACCAACCAAAACCCACCAGTAACGTGAGAATCAAGCATGAACTTCACTATACTAGGAAATTCAGGTGAAAGATTTACTTGAAGTTCTTGTGCTCTCCTCATAGCCAAGGAGTTTTAATCAACACAGCCATACCTCCTCTTTAACAACTTCACGTTTAGCATGTTCAAATTCTGCCAAGAAACATTGCATTGGTTAACACAATTCAAATAAGCTGGAAGTTGTAGAACCTCAAATGAACCAGTTTGCCAGAAGAATGTGACTGAAGAAATAGAGCATGTCATTGGTTGACAAAATTCAGATAAGATAGAACTTAGAAGTTGCAGAACCTCAAATGACCTAACTTGCAAGAAGAATATGACACAAGAACTAGTGAAATGCAAAATGAACAGTACGTATGTAGTACAAAATCAACCAGCAATGTTTGTTGGGTCATTTGCCTTAACAATGTGCACCTAAAACAGGGAAAGGGAATGAAAAATGAGGCAAACTCATTTTGTGTGCAAGGTACCTGGTCTCCATTCCTTTCTCATTTTCATCCACCAAAACAATAGCCAAAGATTTTACATCAACACAGCCAAACTCCCTCTTAACAAATTCACCTTTAGCCTGTACAAATACTGCCAAGAAACATTGCACTGGTTAACACAATTCAAATAAGCTGCAAGTTGTAGAATCTAAAATGAACCAATTTGCCAGAAGAATGTTACTGAAGAAATACAGCATTTCATTGGTTAACAGAATTCAAATAAAATGAAAGTTGCAGCCAAAAGAATATGACACAAGAAATACAATAGGAACAATACATACGTAGTAGAAAATCAACCAGCAATGATTGTTGAGTCATTTTCCCAAACAATATACACCTGAAACAAGGAAAGGGAATAAAAGTGAGGTAAATTCAGATTAGTTCCTTCAAGGCAGAAGATAAGTGCCCCAAAAATATATCCGGCAGCTTATAACTTAGTCTAACACCCTAACAGCACAGCATTTGCACATTGGAGTTACAAACTGCTTGGCAAATTTCATAGGCTACAATCATTACACGGAGTGAATATGCTATTCGTGATGCCCAGAAGGCCAATGGAGAGTCGTCGATGGAAGATCAAAATCGAAGCCGGAGAGTCGTCGATGGAAGATCAAAATCGAAGCAACGGAGAGTCGTCGATGGAAGATCAAAATCGAAGCAACGGAGAGTCGTCGATGGAAGATCAAAATCGAAGCAACGGAGAGTCGTCGATGGAAGATCAAAATCGAAGCAACGGAGAGTCGTCGATGGAAGATCAAAATCGAAGCAACGGAGAGTCGTCGATGGAAGATCAAAATCAAAGGAACGGAGAGTCGTAGATGGAAGATCAAAATCAAAGCAACGGAGAGTCGTAAAGCAACGGAGAGTCAGTGATGGAAGATACAAAGAGTTGGCAATGGAAAATTGAAGTAGCATTGAGTTGATGATGGGGTTTGAAGCAAATAAACGTTCAACAATGGGGTGACAGCACAATCTCGTTGAGGATCGTTGAGGAGAAAGCGAGGGTCAAGCAAGGTATGAAATTTAGGTAATGCATGGCTTTAAATGCAAATTGAGATAGCTAAATATGTAAAGACCTAGGGTTTAAGGAGATAAGTGCCCCAAAAATATATCCAGCAGCTTATAACTTTGTCTAACACCCTAACAGCACGGTATTTGCACATTGGTGTTTCAAACTACTTGGCAAATTTCATAGGCCACAATCATTACACATAGTGAATTCGCGATTCCTGATGTACTCTTGAACTGTTTAATTAGTTGAAAAACTAAGGCATCCCCAGCAATCAAGTTGTGTGCCGGGAAAAAACCTCTCCATCCTGCACACAGGCCAAGCGTTTCAACAAGGTACCTGGTCTTCATCTCTTGTCCAGTTTCATCCACCAAAACAATAGCAGCATCGTGGTTTGGCAAATTAGAAGTGCCGAATTCTTTTCGCAGTCTGGCAGACCCTATCATTTGAGAAGGTAGGGTGATAATTTTGCAATAACAAGATGCTTAGATTACTTGAAACACCCAAGGAAGAAATACAACATTTTATTGGTTAACACAATTCAAACAAGCTGGAAGTTGCAGAAACTCAAATCAACCAATTTGCCAGAAGAAATACAACATTTAATCTGTTAAGATAATTCAAATAAGCAAGAAGTTGCAGAACATCAAATGAATGGATTTGCCAGAGCCCAGAAGAATGTGACCGAAGAAATACAAAATTTCATTGGTTAACAAAATTCAAAAAAGCTGGAAGTTGCAGAACCTGAAATGAATCAATTTGGCAGGAAGGAAATACAATATGAACAGTCATTAGCCAAAACCGTCTCAAAACATCTCATTCCATCAATGTTCTGTTATTAACTTAATTAGAACCAACAATAATCTCATCATTGCACAATAGTATGGCAGTAAGAGGAACAAATAAGGGTTTCAACTAACTGTAGTGCAAGCAGGGGTATTCAGCCTTATGCATCAAACTTCAAAACTAAACTTACAATGGCATGTTGGCAATGGAAGATCGAAACAACGGAGAGTCGTCGATGGAAGATCGCAACAGAGAGCCGGCGATGAAAAAATCAAATAAGCGGAGAGTCGGTAATGGAAAATCAAAGATTCAAAGTAATGGAGAGTTGGCAATGGAAGATCGAAGTAGCGTTGGATTGATGAAGAAAATAAACGTCCGGAAATATAATGAACCAAGGGAAGAGAGGGTTGGACGGACTATTTTTAGAGGGATGCACGGAAGAAACGGTCCTACGGCGAAGGGTTTTTTTTTTTTTTTTTTTTTTTTGAAATAATTACAAATTCTTGATGTTAACATTTTTTTTCTAGGGCTTATATAAGGGATAAAGTACAAATAAGTCAGTGAACTATTTGAAAAAAAAGCAATTAAGTCATCGAACTCAAATAACCCCAAATAAGCCATTGAACTCGAAAAAAAAGAGCAATTAACATTTTTAACAAGTTAACTCCAGGTTTTTACTGATTGGATTACCAAATATTTATTTTATTTACGTTTTTTTATTATTATAATCCATCTACATAGTAATATATTTTAAAGTAATTATAATCAAAGTAGTTTTGTCTTGTCTAGATCTAATTTATTTATTTATTATTATTTTTTTAAACAAAAGATCTAGTGAAAAAATAATAATAAATAAACAAATCAAATCTCGACAAGATAAAACTATTTTGATTGTAATTATTTTAAAATATAATACTATCCAAGTGGATAATATTAATAAAAATAATAATAAACGTAAATAAAATAAACATTTGGCAATCCAATCAGCAAAAACTTGGAGTTAACCTATAAAAAATGTTAATTGCTCTTTTTTTTCAGGGTTCAATGGCTTATTTGCTCTTTTTTTCGGGTTCAATAGCTTATTTGATGGTTATTTGAGTTCGATAGCTTAATTGTTGTTTCCCAAATAGTTCAGTGGCTTATTTGTACTTTATCCCCTTATATAATGAAAATATCTATATTTTTTTTGGAGTAAATTTTAGAAGTATATATATAATAAAACTCTTTTTTTAATGCTACTGACTATATTACATTGTAGCACAAAGAGTCAGAAGTCACTACATGTCAT